AGCAAATGAACAAAATAATAATACATAATACAGCTAATATTTCTTTTTTTTTTAAGTTTATTTTGGCAGATCTCATTATGGATCTAGCTTTTTAAGCAAAGGAGTGATCTTGCTGTCTCTTCATCTAACCTATTCCTTTCTTCTGTAATAGTTTTTTTAGCAATTAAGAAAGCCTGTTCTGAGGCAACGCTTGTTGCTTGAATTGATAGATAGTCACAAGCAATGGTGCTTAATATTGGAAATTCAGGATGTTGTATTTGTCACCAACATAAAAGATTGACATAACTAAGTAAAGATATTTCAAGATATTTTTTAATTTCCTCATAGATGCAATTCATTGAATATTGGTTATAAGTAAAAGAAAAAGATATGTTAACAGAACATAAGTTACGAAAATAGTTTCTATCATTGCTTGAGTAATTAGTAGAGATAGTTTGCTGTGTTTCAAGTAAATATTCATTTAATCTAGAAACTAAATTAATTACTTGATTTTTTTTACCCTCAGTTTTGAATGCAGATATTTTTACTTGTAGATCAAGAAATGCCAAGATTCTAGATGATTCATCAAGTATTGACCAGTAGTTTTCTAATTTTTGATATATTGTATTGGCTATATTAACTTTTGAGAAAGTATAATTATTTTTATATTGCGTTAAGTGTTCTCAGATGCTAAGAACAACAAACCAGATATCATCATGTGTAAAATGGCTTGAGGCAGATAGAAAATGAATAGCACGTTCTATTAGTTCGAGAAGAATAAGTGTATCCTTTTTTTTAAAAAAAAAAAAAATAATAATTAAAGAAAAAAAAAATTAAAATAAAAAATAAAACAAAAATTTATTCATGTTAATACTAACAAAATCTTCTGTATCCAAATACTTTTCTTTAACAGTTTGATCGTCAGCTGCAAGCAAATTTAACATGAGTTCTAATTTTTTCTACTTTCTAAGCATATAGTAAATGGAATTTCACCAGGTCTTTATATCAAGTTCAGGTGCAAGATAAGTAATACCTTTCATATTACAAAGCTCTTTTAGAGCATTGTTTGTTGGTTTTGAGGATTTAATGAATGATATTAATGTTCTTACTTTCACAATTGATTTGTTTACATATACAAATCCCCAATTAACTACAAGATTTAGAATGTGAGCCATGCATCTGTAATGTGAGAACTCAAGGTCATCAAATTCTTGTTCGAGTTTTTCTATTATTAGCTCTCCACAGACAATCATCAACGATACATTGTCAGTAGTAAGAACTAAAGTTCTTTTTGTCAAATCAAATTTACGAAGAATATTCATTATAGCATTAGCCATATTAGAATCTATATATAATGTTGTTAATTAATATTAACAAATTGATTAGTTAATTAGTTGACAACTAATCGATTAATCGATTAGTTGCAACTAGAGATGTAATTATACTGTATAATATATCTTTGTTATTATACGGTATATTAACTAAAATATAGCATAGTCTAAAAATTTTTCTGGCAATCTTTTTATTAAACAAAATTTAGGATCTATAGCTAGAGGTAGTAATAATAGTTACAATCAGTTATGATATAAGAAAGTATTAAAATTTTAAACAAATGGAAAATTTCCAAATATCAAAAAACTGCACCGGAATTTGAGGTATAAGTTGTACTATATGAGTGCTTTAATAATATTTAATATACTAAATACAATTAATCTTTCTTTAGTACCAGGTATTTTATATTCTTAAGTACAATTAATCTGCTCTTAGTACCCAAGGTACTTTACATATTAGGCCTCCAAAAATTGTAAAGGGTATTATCTTTTAGACCACGCTATATAGTAATTAATTAAAATTTGTAATATTACCTGTATGGTACACTTCTATTAAAATAATATCCAAAAAGAAACTATTTAGTTTCTATGAAGAATTAATATAATAGATTGTTAAACTTAGAAACGTGACATGATTTGATGCAGTCTATATATCAGAAGTAAACGATACTTTTTCAGGAATTTGAGAGAGCACTAATTTTAACTGTTCTTTTTTAGCTTCAAATAGGATAATAATTTGGTCTTTTCTGTATAATGATTATGGAACTGATAACATGGATCAAATTTCTTTATAATATCTCATTATTCTTTGCATTCAACAACAGTAAAGAGTTGCAAATCACATAATATCTATTTTGTTACTATATCATCATGCTCTTGTTGTTCTTTTGCTAAATAGAGAATATAATAGTCTTCATATGTGGTTTGTTGCTTGGCAGTTTTGGCACCATAATATTATGTGCTTCTAAATGATGCCTTAAGGTTGAAACATCAGTTTTTTTTCGAATTCCACTTTACATTTTTTGTATTTTGGTAATTTAGATTTTTTATTTCTTATAAAATATTTCTATACAGGTGAGAGTGCTTTTCTTTTTTTTTGAGATTTTGAGTTAACACGTTCATCTGTACTAATGCTTATTGATGAATCACTTTCTTGACTATTTTGATGTTTGATATTTTCATTCTCTTGGTCAACTACGGAATTTGAAAAATCAAAATTTGTATTCTTTTGGAGCAAAGTAAGAAGCTCATTAATCGTACATATTGTAAAATGATTAACTTCAAAAAAAAAAAATTTAAATTAAATATTTTATTACATTTTATTATGAAAATTAGATTATTTGATGATTATATTACATTTATTATACGAATAGTAAATAGGTAAAGATAACATTATTATGTTTTAAGAAATGACTAAATTTTAATACATATGATTTTTAACACAAATATATGATCTCGAACTTAATTAATACACTCTTTAGGGATCTCGATTTAAAAATATAAACTCTATCAAAATTTACTTATACATTTTTATTATTAAAACTAATCCTAAATCCTCTATCTTGGTTATAACAGAGCATCACATTATACTAGTATTAGGAATTAGACAAAAAATTGTACTACATTAAGTTTTGGACATATGTCTAATTGGTTTTGAACATATGTCCAATTAACTTTGAAAACAATTTAACATAATAATCTTTCTAACACTACATTATACTATAGTAGAGATTTATTGTAATGAATAAAATTTTCTAGCCAATCATTTCATTATAACGAAGTAGAAATCAAAAAATTTTACAACACTTAAAGTATAGACCAGATTTGTTAAATTTTTTATAATTTTATTTTTGGGTTATATAAGTTTTTCTAAATAAATATAAGTTTGCTTATGGCTTGCTATCTGCCAATTCTACCTAGTATCATTTATATATATAAAAATTTATTTCTTAAAGTATAACTAGTTTACCGAATACAGTACAAAAAACTATAATCAGATATAATACAATAAAAAAAAATCTTTATTTTTTAAATAAAAATATATAACTACCGGTAGTATTAAAGTTCTAGTTTACCAGATACAGTACAATAGAAAAAAAATCTCTGATTTTATTTTAGACTAGTCCGGGACTGGTCTCAAGACCGTAGACCGAATAATCATAGGACCAGTTAAAAAGACTGGCCCTTATTCAGTCTTTTCAGAACTGATCCATCTCTAATAGCATTACAGATAAAGAAATGTCTAGTTCTGAAAAAGTAATCGGAGAACTAGAATTTGTTTCTACTACAGGAGTATCAGGTCTGGTTTTCAGTAATAGATTATCAGTTTCAATATCAAGATCATTATAGATAGTATTAGAATCTGGGTCTAGTTTTTCTAGAGTTGCTTCTGGGTTAAATATCAGAGGAGGTACAGTAGCATATTCGATACAACATCTATCATATTGATCAAGCTCATCTTGGTGCTTGACATGGAGATATTCTTTGTAAGGTTGAGATCAGCTTATAGTGAGCTGGCTTAGCTGTGGTTTTTAAGCTGAGCCGATGGAGCTGATATAAGCTGGCTCAAGCTGCATCACATGATATGTATACTGATCAGCCAATAGAAGACAAGTGCAAAGTAAAAAAATAATTGTTAAAATTATTATAGCTGTTATCATTATTCCTGAGACACCTTATGAAAAACTAACAGAATAATTATTCAGCTGATTCAATAAGTTTTGATTTCAGTATGATCAGTACAATGTTTATTATTTATAGAGATAATCTAAAACCAGATATGGGTGTATATATATAAGTTTTAAATTTGTTATTAATTGATTTGTAAATTGAAACTCATGTAGAACATATAGCTTTAAACAACCTCTATTTACAATGCAACAGTGCCAATTATTAATCGATAATGACCAAATAACCAATATTAATATAACAAAAAAAATTTAGATTATAAGTTCGAATAATTTCTAAATACTTAGCAGATCATCAATAAGTTGAGTTTTTAAAGATACGGTTATGTTAAAAGACTTCTGCCACTTGTAAGAAACTAGTCTACTAAACCTGAATGATATATATAAAATATCTTAAGATATTAATTGGAAAGAAGCCTGACTGGTATTTTTATGAGTTACAATCTGAGATAGAACTTTGATAACAAAGATTGTCAAGTTTAAGATAGGTATATATAAAAACTTAATATAAATTTATTCAAATATATAATACATATATGCAAATTGAATCGTGTAAGCTAAGTACATTATTAATCAATATATCGCATCATTATC